TTTTCCCCCTATACCCTCCAGGGCTCTTTTTGTAGCAGGAACTCCTTTGCATATTAGGCGACACACCCCTAATGTAGCCAATCTTTCAAGAGCTTACAGTAGACCCTGTAAGAAGACCTCTGTAAGCTCTTGGAGAATTGGCTACATTAGGGGTGTGTCGCCTAATATGCAAAGGAGCTCCTGCTACAAAAAGAGCCCTGCCCTTACCTTTAGAATGTAGGATATAGTTTATAAAATCAATAAAATATTATTATTTTTTAAAAAAGATTGATTTCCCCAGCTAGGAGATTGGCGGATCTGTGCTGGAAAAGGAGAGGGCAGCCTCCACGGCCAGAGTGGATAGCCCCATCCCATGGGAGAAGGGGAAACCAGCCAGGCTGCAGAAGATGGAAGCATGAGGGGCAATCCTGAGTGCTCACCCAGAAACCACTACTACCACCACCACTGCGCTTTGTGTCCAGGTTGTCTCTCTCTGCTTTGTGCCTGCAGCATGAGGGTGGGTGGAACAGGGAAGGCTAGCAGGAGAGGATGACCCTGCCTAGCATCTGGCTCTGAGCACTTTCCAGGCCAACCCATCTCTACCTGTCTGGCTCCCCAGATGGTGGCAGCGCTGCGAGGGTGGGTAGGGCTCTCTCCCAGCTGGAACCTCTGCATCACGCAAGCACAGCCTCAGAGCTCCTGGGACTGCTTGGGACTTAACTAGAAAATACCAGCCATTTCTATGTCCTGTATTTTCTCATTTTTTTTTTACTGGACAAAAGAACCAGACACTTGGCAACCCTGTCTGCGCACCTGCCACAGACTGATAACATATAGCTGAACTTCTGGGAAGTCTCCTAGGATCACACTTTTCAGAATTGGCCAAACCTGTTCACAGCCTCATTACTTTTAGTGAACAGAGGATAACCTCAGGTGGGTAGCTGTGTTGGTCTGAAGCAGAACATAGTTTGAGTCCACTGGCACCTTTAAGACTAACAAACCTAAAACAGATCCAGTATCCTTGTGGTTGTAACAAGACCAATTGAAAACAAAGATTAGTTCTGGTAGGCAATTTGTCTGACATTGAGCTTTTCAATGAGGAATCCTCAAAAAGTGGGTCTCACAGTTCCACTCACCTGATTTCCATGGGCAAGTACCCCAACAGCATACATCCCTCCTTTCTTCCACCTATTGTATACAACTTAGACTTTCAGTACAACACCTCAGGAACATGCCAGAAGTCTCCAGCTTAATTTTACAAATAGTGTTTCCAGTTTATCATGTGTGTCTAATCAAGTCCTGGAAATTGGCAGTGACAGATCAAAGCAGCTCAGCATTTCTCTTTTTATTCAATGCTGAGTTCTGAAAAGACTCATATGTTTACTGGCTGATTACTAATTGCATGTGAAAAGGCAACTGCAGCTGCTTGGAATGATTTTTATATGCTGTTTCTTTTAGCGCTTGTTCCACACCTGGTTATGATTATTCAATGGGTAGAAAAGGCTTTTTGGAGACACTCAGGGGTTCTCTGTTACTTATTCTCAGGTTGAGTCCTGTCAGTGAAATTAGGTTCCCATGCTGTTTTTATTGGCTGAGCAATAACAGAAAAGCAAAATCCCTATTCAAATGAAACTGATTTTCCTTAATACTGCCCACACCCATGATTTTACAAAGAATGGGAAAACTGCCACACTAAAGATGTGTCAAGTTAGAAATAAAATGCCATTATTGCTTCACTTTAGTTTATTGTTTTAGACTCCTGTGCCCCCTCCCCAATATTCTGGGATTACAGGATTCCGTGTGATTTTTGAGAGGTGACAACTTGTGTCCTAACCTCTTCTGCTCGAAGAGATGAAAAACAACATTCACCAATTTGTTCCTATGCAGTCCCTCATCTTGATCCTATAATGTTCCTGGAGATTCATGGACCCCCAGGGGCACAATGAGGATATCTTGGGGGGGGGGGGTAGAGATGCAAAGGCCCGGAAAAAAAACTGGAAAAATACGGGAAAAAATGTTTTCTGTTTTTTCCCAAAAAATTTGAAAAATTGAAAAAAGAAAAAAATGATTATGGAACATTTTATTTTAACATGATGAATAAAATATTTTAAGACAAAGGTGTTCAAATATTTTCCAAATCATTTCTAAAAAATATGTATGGTATCAGATTGATCTAATTTCTGTGAACTCAGGAGAAGCAAGTCCTGGGTTACAAACTGAACTGTCCAATGCAAGAACAAAATGCATTTCTTCCTTTAGGAGGTGCTATTGTCACAAGAAAAGAAAAAGGTTTCAGTTTTGTTTTTGCATGTGGGTGGGTATTCTGTTTGTAATAATTGTTGGATATACTATATTTTTAATATGCTAGTTGCGATAATTTCATGCCAAGTAAAAATGTCCATAGTCATATTTTATGTTCCTAAAGTAACAGAATGACTTTCAATCTGGAAAAGAAGAAAGAAGTGCTAATATAGCATTTTTCCCCATTTTTCTGAAAATTTCCATTTCCCTCCGAAAAAACCCGGGTTTTTTCTCCAAGCTTCAAAATTTCCGGAAATTTTACATCTCGGGGGGGGGGGCACTTTATACCACAACTCCACACATGAATTCACAACACCTCTTACTACAAAAATAGAGCATGAGGTCTAGTATTTACAAAAGAAAGTAGTATAGGCACATATATCTAACCACTAGCAGCATGCTCTACTGCAAGGGTCCCCAACTGCAGGCACATTTGGAATTCTGACACAGTGTGGTGACCACAGACACAAAATCACTGCCACAGGAGGCAGAGCCAGCCACAAAACGGCTGCTACAGCTTACCTTCAACCACACAGTGAAATTTCTGGTGTGGTGGCAGCTGTTCCCAATGCAACATTTTAAAAAAATCTGCACAGCCAATCAAATCCCCATTGGCTAATCAAAAGCCTTGCTGGGCAAAAGCCCCAACTGGCCCCACCCACTTCCTAAAAACACTTGGCAGGCTCCAGGAAATGTGCTGGTGGGAGCCATGGGCACCATGTTGGAGACCCCTGCTCTACTGAATTCTCTTCCTCTCCTCTGACATTCACAGATCAAGGATCCTCTCTTCCTATCTGAACTCATGCATCAGTTTCTCCCTCCCCTCAGGACTGTGTGCTGATTTTCCAGAGTCCACATATTTTCCATTACACCTGCCCTGTGGAATGGGTTTCCGAATGTCCTTTCAGGCATTCCAGAACACTGCAAAATGAGGTGGTTTGTGCTTTTAATAGTGTCTGAAAAGTTTGTGGCCACTGGATGGATTGTTACTGGGTTTACTGTGTGGCATAGTTTAGTTTTTATAGAACTAATTGCAAGCCACCTTGATTCAATATATAAAAATACTAGGATATAAATGTTTTAGATAAAAATGATGTTGCAGAAGCAGTACTACACTGCCTTAGGAGCCCACGTTTCCTGCATATGCAACATGACTTAGGACAGGGTTCTGAGTGACCACTAACAACTTCTGGCTACCTTTACCTGAAACCTCCAAGGAATGTGAAGACTCCACAGAATTTGATCTGAAAATCACTGTAGTAGCAGGATTACTATCCACTCTTAACATTGCCCCACCCTACAGTATCTTAAAACTTAAAAACTTCGCTTTAAAATATCCCCGTTGTACTGATAAAGCTATATATCTCTACATGTCCTTTTACTATGTACTTCCAGAAAATATAGTTTTCAAAAACTGATTTAACAAACCCCTTAATAAAAACAGTAAACAGTTGACAAAAACAGGAATAAGGAGGTGTTATTTGTTTTTACACTGTATGCTACATAAGGTTTCAGAGGGTTTTTAAAGTTGCTTTTTAGCATGAGCAGCTTGATATCCAATAAAATAAAAGATGGGGACAGTAAATGCTCAATATATATGCTAACATCATTATCAGACAGGCTTTTAGTCTATTACAGGCAACAAAGCTCCCTGTTCAACAAAGAACACACTGTATTATATGTTCACATAATGCTTTTGTTGCTCCAAGTACAAGCAGCAAACGTAACAGAAAATTTAGCATATGGTAGCAAAGTTTATTTTATTTATTTATTTATTCTATTTATACCCCGCCCTCCCCACAAACAGGCTCAGGGCGGCTTAAATTTATCGGTACACAGTACCATAAACCATATACAAAAGTTAAAACATTTTAAAAATTTTAAACAATCAAATAATCAAAGTGCTAGTGATAGTAATCGTCTTACAAAATTAAGATAGCATACCAGGTAATATAAAAGCAATTGTTTTCAATTGTTATTATGTTTCCAATATGTTATTAAGTTATTATGCTATTTTATTCAAGGGGGGCAGATCTTCAGAATGGGAGGGGTGGGATCATTATTAATATAATTTCCAGGACAGCCTGAATTAGCTATTTTTTGTTTTCCATGAATATCTGCAGTTGCCAACACACAGAACACAGGACAGGAGGTTTACAATGTAGGATTCTGACCCCAATAGTTTGTCTAATTCTTTGTTAACATGGACTAAATTTCCTTCCCAACTGTGACTTATTGCGCTATATCACAGTGATTAATGAAGTTTTATAAGCCTGGAAGAAGCCTGAATACTTTTCTCTGCAGTGCCATCAAAACTATGTCTGCTTAAATAAGCAGTTCATTTCAAATGCTACGCAAAGACAGATAAAACAACTGATACAGAGGTAAATTACAATAATTTTTTTCCACTTTTATTGCACACCTTTCACACAGGCATGAAAAAGGCATCCCCCAGACAAAAGAATTGTACCTCTTAAATACATACAAAACTCTGAAGGGCCACGAAGTCACAAATGCTTCAACAATGCTTAAACCGCATGTACATTTTAAATGTATAATACAAATTATCTTTACATTTTGGTCAGATGTTTACTTCTTTATTAACATAATGGATTTGTAAAAATTATACAGATAATAAAATACCATAAAGCTAAAAAACTTCTTTGTAATTTAAGTTCAGTGAGATAAGCAGGAAAATACACATCAAATTTGGTGCTCTGCATACCAATTTGAACTTTTTTGTAAAATGCTTCCTGGGGAAACAAACAAACAAATAAATAAATGGCACTTTCTGCATGCAAGACAGCATAGAGGAAAAGGCTGTGGCTGCAACCCTGTGCCAGTTACCCTTTTGCAATGAAACAGAAGGAGCTTAATGCAGTGATTTTCAACCTGGACTTGAACAGTGGCTGTAGGTGAGGTCCCAGACCACGCTTATTCCATACATTTCTATGGAGCAGATGAATGCCTTGGAGGCTGCATCAAAAGCCCCAGGAGGCCATGGTTTGAGAAGTCCTCCAACCGCCATTAAGTAGTCTCGAACAGGCAGGCAAGCACATAGCTGCTTCTTAGTTAAAATAAAGACAACCAGAATCACATTGACAGCCCTCTAATTAGAGAGTCAGATGAGGCATTAATGCCATTTTTAATTCAGAACCCTTATTTCAAATCCGAAGTCACAGTACACTTTTAATATATACTAGGAAACAGTATCCAAGACTTATGATGATAGAGGCAGACACGGGTCCTTTTCAACTTGCTTAAGTCAAATCCTGCCTTGGACTGAAGCATCAAGTCTGTTCCCTCCTCCCTTCCTTTTATTGACAGGTTCCTAAATTACTTCTGCCACTCTGAATTGCACATCAGAAATCAGATGCATTTTCTAACTTCATTATGCCATTGTATAACCGTAGCTTCCACAGTGTAATGCCACAAGAAGCCTGTCCTTAAGGATTTCTTTTCTTGGGTATTCAGGCAACTTCAGCATGTTGATACTGGAATGGAGAAAAATGCAGCCCCATTAAAAATCTGAAAGTAAAAAAATTGTTCTGTGCAAGATAATTAATGTGACACCGTATCTCAGATCTACATTCTGACTGAGATCTCTTGAAAATGAAGCAGGCATGGGGAATAAAGAGCATGCCTGCACTGCAGTCCCCTTCAGCATTCTGCCGTCCTACAGAAGAATACCTTTTTAGCTTAAAATAAAAAAGCAATATAGCAATTTAGCATGAAGTGTCCCTTCGTGATATTGTACTGCTGCCCATTAAACTACATGACAGTAGTTAGAATTTGTCCCTCAGTACTGTGGAGGAAATAATTGAAGTACCCATACCTTTGGAGTATCACAACCCATCCTGCAGTGACTAATGATACTGACCAAAGGCATTTCTGTAATGAGGTTATTTAAGGGTGTTTCTCTGATCTTGAATAATTGTTTGCCGTTCTCTTCCCCTCATCCCCCAAAACCATAATGACAACAAGAGACAATCTTAATGCATTAAAATAAGACTATTTAACCTACCATGTGCTTGATGTTGGCAGAAGATTTGGTGTGTATGGCACAGCAGCAATTGTGAAATTCTGCAGCCCACTACCACCCATTATATGTGCAAAGCCACCATGGGGTACCCTGGAACTGAAAAAAATGTACAACATGAAAAAGAGGCTACACCCCTTTTTAAAAAGCAGCACAAGCAATGAGCACACAATTTAGATTACTTTTTCGAACGAGATATATGTATTCAATAGGCACTGATTTCCCACATTCTAAACACTGATGAAATTAGGTTTGCTCCATCTTCAGTAGAACACAAACAAATTTTTTTAAATGGAGTATGCACACAGGTACCCATGAACTCAGTACTAATCACTCATACTCTGCATAAATTAATACCATGCTCAGATGCCTTTTATTTCTGCCATGCTGCTGTCAATTCTTCTCTCTTCCCTGACAGCTGGGCAGATATACATTAAAAGCCAATTAATGCAATTTGTTTTTCCATACAAATGTCAATATCTGGTTCAAGCTAACTAAGGTCAGGGGAAAAAGAGGAAATTTGGAGAAAATTGAAATACATGCAATACATTATCAAACCTAAACTACTTTTAATGATTTAAGAGCCAGTTTGGTGTAGTGGTTAGGAGTGCAGACTCTAATCTGGGAGAACCTGGTTTGATTTCCCACTCCTCCACATGCAGCCCTGCTGGTGTGACCTTGGGTTAGTCATAAGTTCTTTCAGAGCTGTTCTCTCAAGGGCAGTTCTGGAGAGAGCTCTCTCAGCCCCACCTACCTCACACAGGGTGTCTGTTGTGGGGAGGGGAAGGGAAAGGAGATTGTAAGCTGCTCTGAGACTCCTTTGGGTAGTGAAGGGCAGGGTATAAATCCAATCTCTTCTCTCTTCTCTAAAATACATCATTTGTAATTCAGGTGGCATAGAACACTGTACTGTCTGGTGCATACTTATGGAATTTAGAATGATTAATGTCTTCATTTTCTATAAGAAAAGTTACATCATGTTGCATCATACTTTCCCATAGGAACATTTGATAAGTCTCATGATCATATTAAAATTTGCCATACATAGTGTGAGTGTGGTGGAGGTATATATCTTTCTACCCAGTGAATCTAACTTTCTCCCTTCTTTATCGAAAGGAAAAGTGTGTGTTCTGGATCTGTGCTTTGAGGGCACAAGCTCAGTAATAAGGAAAATCCACACCCTTCCTCCCTCACTTTATACACAGCATCTAACTTTCTTGCTGAGGGGGAAACCAAGGCAGACTTCACCCACACCCCTTTCACAATGTCAACCAGGCCCTGCAGCATCGGAAAAGCCACCAAGCCTGATGTCGAGGAGTAAAAAACTTTAAGCACTGGATCCAATGGCTGCAGATCCCAGCACATAACATCTAGTTCCAAGGACCTGACCCCATGAATAAGCTGTTCTGTATATAGGGACAAGTTCACAGTTGGTGAGATGGTATCCAGCTTGCCAATCGCCTCATCAGGGGATGGTTCTGACAAGAACACTGGAAATGACCTCAGAAGTCAGAACTGAACACTGAGTCCAAAGACGGCGGTCAAAGCCACAAAGAGAGAGTACTATGTGGCCACAATCATGTCTGCGAGCCAGTTTGGTGTAGTGGTTAAGTACACGGACTCTAATCTGGGAGAACCAGGTTTGATTCCCCACTCCTCCACTTGCACCTCCTGGTGTGACCTTGGGCAAGCCATAGTTCTGGCACAGCTGTTCTTGAAAAAGAGCAGTTTCTGTCAGAGCTCTCTCAGCCCCACCTATCTCACAGGGTGTCTGTTGTGAGGAGGGGAAGGGAAAGGAGTTTGTAAGCTGCTCTGAGACTCCTTTGGGTAGTGAAGGGCGGGGTATAAATCCAATCTCTTCTTCCTCTTCTGTTTCTCTCACACCCAGCCCAATTATTTAGAACAATTCGGTCTTTAACTGTTCTGCCACAGGGCAGACTAAATCCAAGAGAACTGGATATCGGCTGTGAGGCTTTTGCGAACTATTTCACAGATAAAGTCCTGTCCCTCCGCCGTGATCTTCCCATCACAGTTGATACAGTGAGTGAACTTAAGGCTCCCTGCACGTCTTCGAGTCAGGTTATGGATTATTTCAGTCTGCTCAGCCTAGAGGAAGTTGACAAATTGCTCCTAGTGGTACACCCTACCACATGCTGCCTTGACCCATGTCCATCATGTCTAATTAAAGCTGGCCACGATGGGTTGCATGGTGCCTTAAATGAAATTATCAACAAGTCCCTCACGAAGGGACTGCTCCCTGGGGCGCTCAAGGAAGCGGTGCTGCTGATACATGAAGAAGCCATCCCTGGATCCAGCCGAATTAGCTAACTATTGGCCAGTTTCCAATTTGTCCTATCTGGGCACAATTACAGAGAGGGCCATGGCAATCCAGCTACAGAGCTTTTTGGATAATGCTTCCATTTTAGACCCCTTCCAGTCTGGTTTTTGCCTGGGCCATGGGACAGAGACAGCACTGGTTGCTTTCACAGACAATCTCCGGAGGCATCGGGATCAAGGCAGTTTTGGCAGTGCTGTTGTTGTTGTAGCTGTTGGCTGTGTTCAACACGGTTGACCATTAGTTACTGATTCACCACCTCGCCGACATAGGCGTTCAGGGGCTCGCCTTGCAATGGCTTGCCTCCTTTCTCCATGGTCAGGGACAAAGGGTGGCATTAGGGGAACAGCTCTCCCAGAGGTACCCACTAGAGTGTGGAGTGCCTCAAGGGGCGGTGCTTTCCCTGATGTTATTTAACATCTACATGCACCCCCTTGCCCAGAGTTATGGGCTGGGATGTCACTAGTATGTGGATGACACCCAGCTCTATCTGGAAGATCTGGACCGGGCGTTACAAGCCGTGGCTGGTTGGCTTAGACTGAGCTGATTGAATTGAATCCAACGAAGATAGAGGTCCTGTGCTTGAGTCGGGGTGGTCCAAAGGTAAGGATCCCAGTCCCGACCTTCGATGAGGCACCACTGGTGCCAGCATCAAAGGTTAGGAGTTTGGGAGTGCTCCTGGACACCTCCTTAACCATGGAGGCCCAGGTAGCAGCCACTGCCAAGTTGGCCTTTTATCATCTTCGGCTGATCAGGCAGCTGGTTCCCTTCCTCAAACGCAATGATTTAGCAGGGAGGGCGAGGTATAAATCCGAAAAATAAAATAAATAAATAATGTGTACAGTGATGGCCAGAGTTCGATGGTGAATGATGTCGAGGGACATGAAGGACGTCCCAAACTGTGCCCCAGAGCCATGGCTGGCAGTACCAGTTGATAGGAGCAGGACTGCTGATCCCAAGGTAAGTTGGCCAGGCAATACATGTATGAAGGCATAGTCGGATATGGGAACCAAGGTCCCTGTGGAGGACACTACTGAAAAGATACTGATGGAAGTGAGGCATTGCCATAATCTGTCGACCTCTTTTTCCTCGGTGGGGGTTGGATTGGATCTGGAGATAGTGGCCAAATCTCAATAACTTCATAGTTGTCACAAGAATCTAAGCTAGCAGCCAGGGTTGGCAGCAGTGATGGGGTATGGGGCCAAGGCGCATTAGAAGTCAAGGCCTTTGAGAGTGAAGAGTGCTTGAAAGACAATTCCTTAGACCTAGATTTCAAACTCAAAGGCAGAGGTTCCAATGAGTTTCTAGGTACCGGAACTGACTTTGTCGCCAAAAAAGCATCCAGTCCTGACAAGGATCCTAAGGGTGCTGCGCCCACTGAGGGAGTTCAGACCCTAGCTCCGATTTCTCAACCCTCCGAGAAGGCTGGTCTTTCTCTGGGGCCCCAAGCACTTCCTCCCACAGATAAGCTTTCAGCCTGGAAGTCCTTTCCTGGCAAGCCTTCGGGGTAAATTGACAGAAGATCATACAAAGCACTACATTGTGGGACTGCCCAAGGCAGATCAGACAACATTTGTAGTCATCTGACTGGGCCATCTTGGTGCCGCATCCACCGCACTTTTTAAGCAAGGCCATTTCAAGAAGAGAAATAAACAAGAGAAAACCTCACCCGATGCTGAGGTGAAATTAGATGAGCCAGAAAAACAAGGACCTTTCTCCATGGTGGCAAAGGAAGGACTGAGGGAAGAAGTGCTCACCCCACCATCACGTGCCGGTTTGGGTGGCAAACACCAGTGTGCATCAGAGGGGAGGAAGAGCCTAGCACTCCAGAGTTTAGGAAACAGCTAGAAATCTACAGAACTTTCTTCACGGCTGGTCTGCGTGTGCACGGTCCCATGTGACTACACAGAAGCCATGAAGACAAACTTTATATTTGCAGCACAATGCTACTAAAGGGTGAAAAACAATTTACAAACTAGGACACAGTGGGTAGAAATAAAACTCTGAAGAGCATGAAATGTTGGATGGGCCACCAGGTATTTGCTGCTGATACATACAGCAAAAATGCAGCAAAAACCTGTGATCAAGTCTTTACAAAAAACTAAAAAGTTAATTCAAATAGTCCCAGAGTCATATATTACTTCACTCACAATAATAGCATCAGAAAACATTCACTGAATTTTGTTTTGCTATGTATAATAGAAAAGAGACACAAGATACACTTAAAGGAATTCCATGAAATAATACCTCTCAGAGGTGGTATTTGTTTCACTAGATAAATAAAATTAATTTTATGGTCTCTAGCTGTAAAAGGAATGTTTGACTTTTCATTCAAGTGGCACTAAATGTTTACTCAAGCTTTTGGAGAAACCTGTGATGCAGATTCTGAACACAGAGAAGCCCAGTGGCAATACTGAATCTGAGTACAATTTCTCACTGATCACAAAGCTTTTGGAGAGAAATTTAACTGGCAAGCCTGAAAAATTCACCATAGACACCTCCAGAGCCCAGGTCCTGCCAGTTTGCTATAGTGGGATTTATAATATATTTTAAAAGTATTATAAATATAACTTCTTTTCCACAGTCTAGAATATTTTGACACACATAACCCATTTGAAGGGATTTATTCAGCTGCCACCAGCTGAATATTAACCCATTTCAAGTAAGAAATTCCTTGAGGAGTGATTCTTGAGTGAGGGTATTGTCCCTGAGCAAGGTAGCTGATGTTTCTCAACCCTTCCCTCCTTCTTCCTGAACACAGTAGCATTCCCTGCCCTCAGAACAGTAAAGTTACAGAACAGTTATTCACGAGGGTTTTTTGACCTACAGGACATGGGCCTGGAAATGTACTCGGGGGAGGAAGTCAAGGGTAATGCCATGGAACAAGTAAAGTAGTTCAGATATCTAATGCTACATTTTTTATATAACAACAACTGGTTAGCCCAACAAAAATATGCACTTTACCCAGTCAAGGTATGCCTGCTGTGTTATGTTTCTTTTACATTCATGGTGGTCAATGTTTGCAGCTGTTGTATGGTGTTCCCATTTGGGTCAGTGCATTTAATCAGGCTGTAGCAGAAGTCTAAGCTATCCTGGGTATCCCAAACTGTGTTGGATATACGGCCATGTGTTTGGAAACAGGACTGGGCCTTTTGGAAACTAGAGCTTGGTTATTGATATTCTGGCTGCACCTTCATTTTTTATCCAATCATCCTAGCTATGTGCACACTATGTTATCAGACTCCTACATAAGTGGTATTGCATGGTTCTGTAGAAAATTAATTCAATTGGTATTCCATTTGACTCACTCCTTATGTTAGGGAAACAACTGGCTTTCAGATTGCTGCCTCAGAGACTGCTGGATATCGAGAAACAGTTTTGCACTCTCTAGCAAACAGAACATGTTCCCCTACTGCTAGGGTTGTCAAGTCCATCTTCCGCGACTTTGGGGTTTGGGGGCGTTCCTGGAGGGGGCGGGGCATCCTTGACGTGATGACGTCACGTTGGGGAGTCCGCCGCCCCACCCGCCTGATCTCCAGAAAGGCCAGTTCCCTGTACTTAAAGGAGCCGGTGTTTCCCTTTTAAGTGCACACTGACATTTCCTTGCAAGCCTGATCTCAAGCGGAGATCGGGCTTGGGAGGAAATGTCCATGCACTTAAAGACAGCCACTCCTCTCTCTCAAGAGAGAAGGGAGCGGGGTAGCTGTGGGTATTGGGCCCCCCCAAAATGGGAAACCCCTGGCAAACCGGGGGGGGGGTTGGCAACCCTACCTACTGCAAATGGCATCGTGCCAGTTTATGGGGATCCTGCTCACTATTAATTATTCCATCTTAAATCTCCAAAACTCCACAAAGCTTTTATGCTCGCCAATATTCAATATTCTGCCTTGAAAAATCCTTTATGGTAGATTTTTGAGAATTTCGTATCAGAAGAAATACTGCACATGTATGGCCGGCATTCCTGAATTTTTACCTCATGTTATATTATAGCTTTTATACTGAGTTGAGGAATTTCATAATTATCTCCCTCTTACACAAATTTCAGGGTTTTCCAGAGGAGTGATTGGTTTTATACCTTTTATTGGACTGGAATTCTTACATTACCAATCAGGTTGCTAGTTATTTATGGGTGGTATATAAATCCCATGTAAATAAATAAAATAATAAATTATTTCCTAGCTACTATAATGATCCATGGGTTGGCTGTGAATGTTCATGAATAATGTTATTTCTAATTTTATTTAAGATTATGATCACTTATCCATGTGTTTTCTGATGTATATATTTGTGCTAAGTGGCTATGCAGTATTTTGGATTGTTGTTTTTTTAGACTTAAACAGAACCACTCTCTATCAGGCTACAAAGAACCCAACTCTCTCTCAGCTCCCACACAGCAGCTAGGAAGGCAAAGGGAGAAAGAAAAATCCCCTACCTTCTATCAGCAACCCACTACATGCTCTCCACTCCTTGCCTCAGCCCAGCTGACTCAGCTCTGCCTCAGGCGAGGAGCAGCCTTTTGTTTCAAAAGGCCCCTTCCTGCTCAGCACAGCAGAGCCCAGCACAATAGGGGGCGGGGCTTGCAATCAACAGCACTCCACAGCAACTCACTCAGCCTCCAACAACCCCCAAAGCACAAACAGCACCAAACAGACTTAAACAGTCTTTGATGCTGTATATTATGTTGTAAGTCCAAGATTTTTAAAATGGGTGATCACAGCTATGCAAACATGGCAGACCATGTTGCTCTGTTCTTTGCTCCCACTTTGAAACAAATCTGTCTCGTCCCGTTCACCGCCTGCGACCCGACCTCCCTCCGGGAAGTCCGGTTAAACCCCGATGGTCACAAGGACCCTGGGGGCTCCGAAAAAGCAAAGGTCAGGGCTAGTCGGGAGCATCCCGACTAAGCACCCGCGACGCTGCGTCATTCCCCGGAAGTTCAACAACTGAATCTTCAGCTGTATTGCGAGATTCTAATGCCTGCTAGTTCAATTGCTATAACAGCAGAACATTAGTTCTGACATACTAGAACCATAACCTTATTTCGTTAAGTGAAAAGGGACTAGTCGGAAGTCCAAAAACTAGCCAAGTGGTTAAGTATATTTATGACATAGAAGAAACCCATAGAAATAGAGGAAGTTGGCAGCCAATAATATTCACCCATCTGACAAAGGATTAAGTAGTTTTGACGTTAGCACTATAATAACAAAGTGAACACTTTAGACATCCCCGTCTCACTGAGACAGTGATCACACATTTTGGTGAATGATACAACACAACGCTATGCAGTACAATTTCAAAATGTAGGTAAAACATTTTCATTAAAATGATATGTATACTCACCTGCCTGTAACAAACTGCAAAAGCAACACTCGTTCTTCCTGAGTCAATTCTTCTACAACTTCCCAAAACCACTAGATGAAAAATAAGATTTTGAAATACTCTTCTTCAAGTAGAGATTTTTTTAAAAAAAGAGGGACACATTTAAAGTATTGCAATTTAAGTTAGGGAAATCAACTTCTGATACAAAATATTTCTATTTCATATATTTTTATCCTGCCTTTTCTTCAGGGAGCTCAGTGTAGTATACATGGGTCTTTCCTCCTCCATTTCCCCCCTTCATAACAATCTTATGAGGCAGGCTAGACTAAAAAGATCACCCCAGTAAGGTTTTCATGACAAAAAGGGATTTTAATCTCAAGGGTAATCCCGCACTGCGGCCATTACACCACACTGACTCATTCTGCCTCATTTCCATGACAGTAAACAAATAAAACGTGGTCATTGTTTTACAATTTTCCTAATTCATTTTATAGTCCATACATCTTCCTTAATGGAACTCAGGGAAGCCTATAGGGGATTCTCATGAAATTTCCTACATGGTAACCTACCAGGCCCAGACCTGCTTAGCTTCAGCAAGATTTCTCTACCATCCGCCTTCCTTCCCTAAAGACCTCTAATTTAAAACTAGAAGTAGCAGAATCTATTAAATATGAACACAAATTTGCATTCATCCCAAGGAGATTTTACCTGAACAACGAGATCGTCTCTTTCATAACCACTTGTGTATTCTGTATTTTTCATCCAATCGCTCACATCGATTTCTGGCATGCCTGAAAGCAGCAATTCCTTCAAAAAAGGAAGAAACCAAAACCAAGATTTCAAAAACAGATTTGTAACTTTAAGTTACAATCAGTCAATGTTCAGCATATAAGAAACCAATTTTTAGACCAGTGTTTGCTTTTTTATATCAGCTATACTAGTGCACCTGCTCATTACTGAACATTAGAAAAAGGGGAAAAAACGAGTTCCTGGTTATCTACAGTCAACTTGGGGAATTTTATTTTATCTGATGATATAAAAATCTCTCCTGTAGAAATACCATTCCCCAATTGGGGTAGGGGAACCCTCGCTTTTGTGGGCTCCTGCCCACTGCCAGCCAGCTGGCCAGTGAGAGGAAATTCCCCCGATGGCAGTGCATTGATGATGTTGGGGGGACACACACTCTGCTTTTTAGGCAAAACTCTATGGTTTGAGTCCATTTTTGCCACAATGTTTTGTCCAAAAAGCGGAGCATCACTCCTGATGTCGCTAACACTCTGACATCACTTCCGGGTGACACAGCGTATTGTGCAACATCCCCGCCCACCCCTGGAATGCCTCTCCCCTTGCCAGAGCAACAAGGGGACCTGGCAACCCAAATTCCAATTAATTGATGTTGTCCTCATGCTAAAGTTACTAATGAAGTGGGCCCCCCCCCAAGAATTCAAAAGTAGTTAAAATATTTCTACCCCACCTTTGCCCAACCTGCTAATCATCATTTAACTTCAGGAACTAATAGTTACCCACTTGCACTAAATGCCACTTGACACAAAAAAAGTTCATCGTGCTACTTACGAGTTCATATTCATCAAACAGCTGTATCAGAGAAGGTGGAATGAACATATGGAAGCCTTGCAAGAAAGCATTGATCTGAGGCTGAATGGCTCTTGTCATCCGAAGCTCAGTGACAAGCTGGACGTATTCAGCCTGAAAAAAATGGTGCATATATTTGTCACCAGCACACATACACGTACTTAGCTCCGTTCCTAAATTAAAACCAGCTCTTACCAAAAGTAGAATCTATAAATGGGGAAGTTAGGGAGAAGAGAAACCTAGAGGTAGACTGCTGAGGAAGAGTATGGAGGCAAATAAAGTCTCAAGTCCTTTCCCTTGTTTAAGTATTTGCGGCCTGATTTCCATAAATGTTTTTCCTTTAAAAATTCAGAGAAATAATTAAACTGTGGGTATTGTTGAAAGGATTTTTAAAGCTTTTAATTTATTTATTTTAAAATGTACATGCACACTTTTTTTGACATACATTCCCCAGGAGTATCCATACTGGCAGGGGAATGTGGAAAAAGTGTGCAAATGTGCATTCCCCAAGGCTTGCTGGACAGCATGTACTTTGACCAGGCAATGTGTACCTGTCCCTCTTCAAAGAGAGATGTTGTGTACATTCTTCATGTCCTGTGGTGAAGTTTGGTGTAGTAGTTAAGTGAGTGGACTCTAAGGTTGCCAAATCAGAAATCCTTACCGGCGGGGGAGCATCCTGTCGCTCCGGGAGCCGGCTGGGGATGTGTGTGCGCGCACCGCCAGAGCATCACCGGAAGTGACGTCACACGCTGGGGCGGGGCCACGCCATTTGAGGGGGAAACTCTTTGTTTTCCCCTCAAATGGCGTTTCCCCGCCCCCAGCGTGCAATGTCATTTCCGGGTGACACGCGCGCGGGGGTGGGGTTTCCCCCGGGCCCCGATTCCGCAGGAGCGGGAATCGGGGCTCGAAACCGGGGGGAATTCTGCCCCCCCGGGGGGGGGTTGGTAACCCTACCTTGGGCAAACCATACTTCTGGCAAAGATGTTTTTGAAAAGAGCAGTTTCTGTCAGAGCTCTCTCAGCCCCACCTACCTCACAGGGTATCTCTTGTAGGGAAGAGAAGGGAAAGGAGTTTGTAAACTGCTCTGAGACTCCAAGTGAAGAGCAGGGTATAAATCCACTCTCTTCTTCTTCTCCAATGGCCAGTCATGAATATCATTCAACTCATGCTACCCACCCCCCCAAAAAAAAATGTGTACACCCACTGCCTAACTCAAACAGGAAAAATTGAAATGTACCAATTAGAAGTCCACACAAGAATGTCAATTTTTCATGAAGTGATTTGAGGATTTTTTTATGAAGTATTAATACTGACATTCTTTTTTCTTTACGTTATCACAAAATACACCGGCTCAAGATAGCCTACCCTACAAACAATCCAGACAAGACTAAAATTTAAGCCCTGATTAAGATGGCAATTCTTAATTATTTGGCTGTCTGAAGGAAGTTGTATGTATTATTTATTTTACATTTCTATGCCACCTTTCCACCCAAATACGGTTCCCAAGGTGGTAAGCATCAAAAGACTTAGTGAAATAGTCCACAGAACTAATTAAGGGAAAGAAAAAATGAAATGAGGGGGGAAAAGAACAAGGAAAAATTCAGAGACTTGCTCCCCATTAAAACCAGCCAAGCAGCTGTGCATAGATAACTTGCAAACGAAAGAATTAGGAAGTGACTTGTCTAAATGTTTTGCCCCTAACAAATACAAGGCTCTAGACCCAGACAGTGAGAGCCAGCCTCCCAATTATCTATAAATTGTCACTCATGTAAAGCTGATGAACCTTTAAAGGAGACTAAATTAGCAGCTTCAGACTGTGAGTTAATAGACTCACAACCACCTTATTCATCTCCATCAGATATGAAATACAATTCCTCTGAGAGTAGGTGGCATGAGCAATACCCACAAAGAGATTTTCTGCTCAAGTATACAGGAGATAATTGCCTACTTACCAGCAAAACTGTTGCAGCTATTTTTCAACAGTTGAACAGTATTGCTGATAAATTCAATCGCCTTAAACAAAACCTCAGCGCACCAATATTGGAGACTCTGCCTAAAAGGAATCATAAACCTCCTGACCCAAGAACATAGGATATACCATTTCCCTCTGAAAGGGTAAGGAACAGTGAGGAAGGTATACAGCTGGGTTGCAGATTGCAAAACCATCAAATTGCAATATTTATCAAACACAATTTTGTGAACTGTGCGCACTGGGCAAATAAAAGACCAAACCTCTACTCCCTGAGTCAACTCCTGCATGTAGAAATTTGTCTGAGTCAGATTGAGGTGACGAGAGAGGAGGTCCTTAAACTGATAGAAAACTTAAAAACTGATAAATCACCAAGTCCAGATGGCATACATGCGAGAATTCTGAAAGAACTCAAATGTGAACTCAAATGTGAACTTGTGGACAAAAATATGTAATCTTTCCTTAAAATCTGCCTCCATTCCTGAGGGCTGGAAGGTAGCTAATGTCACTCCCATCTTTAAAAACGATTCCAGAGGAGATCCGGGAAATTACAGGCCAGTCAGTCTGACGTCGATACCAGGTAAATTGATGGAAATTGCTATTAAGAATTAGTAAGCACATTGATGAACAAAAACTATTGAAGCAGACTCAGCATGGGTTCTGTAAGGGAAGATCTTGTCTCACTAACCTGTTAGTGTTCTTTGAGGGGATGAACAAACATGTGGACAAGGGGGACCCAATAGATATTGTTTACCTTGACTTCCAGAAAGCTTTTGATAAAGTTCCTCATCAAAGGCTCCTAAGTAAGCTAAAAATGATGGGATAAAAGGACAAGTTCTTTTGTGGATCAAGAACTGGCTAATTAATAGGACACAGAGAGTGAGTATAAGTGGGAAAATTTCTCAGTGGAGGGTGGTAAGCAGTGGGGTACCGCAGGGATCAGTACTCAGTCCGATGGTTTTTAACTCGTTCATTAATGATTTGGAGTTGGGAGTAAGCAGTGAAGTGGCTAAATTTGCAGATGATACAAAGTTGTTCAGGGTGGTGAAAACCAGGGAGGATTGTGAGGCACTCCAAAGGGATCTGTTGAGGATGGCCGAGTGGGCGTCAACGTGGCAAATAGGATTCAATGTGGCCAAATGCAAGGTGATGCACATTGGAGCCAAAAATCCAAACTATAAATACACACTGAAGGGGTCCGAACTGGCAGAGACTGACTGAGCTTGGAGTCGTAGTAGATAACTCACTGAAACTGTTGAGACAGTGTGCGACTGCAGTAAAAAAGGCCAATGCTATGCTTGGGATTATTACGAGGGGAATTGAAAACAGATCAGCCAGTATCATAATGCCCCTATATAAATCAATGGTGCAACCTCATTTGGAATACTGTGTACAGTTCTGGTCACCACTCCTCAAAAAGGATATTACAGCTTTGGAAAAAGTGCAGAAAAGGGCAACTAAAATGATAAAAGGGTTGGAACACTTTCCCTATGAAGAAAGGTTAAAGTGTTTGGGGATCTCTAGCTTGGAGAAACGACGGCTGAGGGGTGACATGATCGAGGTTTATAAGATTATGCATGGGATAGAGCAGGTAGAGAAAGAGGTACGCTTCTCCCTTTCTCACAATACAAGAACTTGTAGGGCACTCAATGAAATTGCTAAGCGATCTGGTTAGAACAGATAAAAGGAAGTACTTCTTTACCCAAAGAGTGATTAACACATGGAATTCACTGCCACAGGAGGTGGTCGCAGCTACAAGCATGGACGGCTTCAAGAGGGAATTAGATAAGCATATGGAGCAGAGGTCCATCTGTGGCTATTAGCCACAAGGTATAGATAGGGACTCTGGGGCAAGTGATGCTCTGCATTCTTGGTGCTGGGGGGGACAACAGTGGAGGACTTCTAGTGTCCTGGCCCCACTGTTGGACCTCCTGATGGCACCTGGTATTTTTGGCCACTGTGTGACAGAGTGTTGGACTGGATGGGGCATTGGCCTGATCCAACATTGGCTTCTCTTATGTTCTTATGTCATATTGACCTTGAGAGAGTAGATATAATCTCAAATACATTTTCTGGGAGAAGAGTTCTTCTAATTTTTAGGCAGCCAATAATTCCCTCGATGCTTTTTAAAAATGAGGTTTTTATTTTCCTTTGGAATCTTCTCAACCACAGTCTTCATTGATGAAACTGTTTCAGCATTAATCCCAGGGACTACAAGTGGAAAATCTCTCCATTCAGGACTTGAAAATGAACCCCCTCCTGACACTATTGACAACCATTCAAGCTCAGTACAAAATGCAGAAAGGAGAATGCCTACATTACAAATTAGTTCAAGTGTGACTAAGGGGCCAAGAAAAATAGAACAGCTATATCCTGTAAACTCTCCTAGAATATCTTCTTTGGAAGCACAAACAAATGTTCTTTTTACATGAGAGAAACTGAAGAACTCACCACAGCTCCTTCACACTATAGATGAACCTTTTAATGTATTTATCCTTGGGAGACAACTGCCTAACAACAAGTCAGACTCAAACCTACGATGATGATTTGATTTCCCTCATCCCTGACACTGACAGGCTGCAGTGCTCCCACGACCCTAATATCTACTTCTACTCCATCAAAGGGGTTAATTCCAATTTTGCCAACCGCCTATAAAGACGATGCATCAGAGGGGTAATCAACAGTCAGCAGCAGAACATCTCAAGCTAAATTTAAAGCCAATAAGTCCTCACATAAGTCTCTTACTTTACAAAGCAAGGACCAAAGCATCTCTATCAGTGATGCTGACAATAAAGATATGGACCCCTGTATGTCTACAGAAAAAGAAGAATAGAGGGAGACAGATAAATTTCCCCTCAGAGAAAGTTTCAAAGGTTTGGCTCCACAACCAACATATAATATCAGAGACAACACATTAGTTTTAAGACTAACATTCAGTCTCTTCCCATCCTCCTTGTTGCAGTTCCCAGCACTTGGGCATATTTTCACAATCCTTGTATATATTTTTCATAACTATGGACAGCATTCTGTTTCAGTTTACAAGACAGTGAATATGCACACCCATAACTGTGCACTATACTGATCAATGAATGTTTAATTTTTACCAAAAAAATGAGAAAGTTGGGAATCATGTTTGGGACCCACT